TCAGGCCTAAACCAGGCAATAAATCTATACATGTAAACGTTTTTTTTTACAATTATCTCAAGTACTATAGCCATTCTTTGGTGCGCTACGTGATTTTTTAATACTCTTACGTTTTCTTATAATAAAATTGTATTTTACCTTCGAGTCGAAGAAAAAATGGTCCAAGTGGGAACATTCAGCAGGTGCGCGTTGACGTAGTATCCTACCATTGTGTTACTTTGCCGCATCACTAAAGAGAGACTCAAAAGGCCTCTTTTTTGTCTCACTATAAACCAGTCTCCGAGTCAGAACTGCGTCCTTGATATTACTCGAACACAATAAAATCTTCATTATTATTTTGGATGACACATATTCGCCAATTGTGTTTTTCTATTTGACATAGTTTATATAGTTATTTCGTATTTTGACACACACATTATACAAAACTATCTAGGTGCGAACTTGAACTTTATACTTTAAGTTAAGCAAGCATCCGTATTAAATTTCATTTTTCAAAACTATATTTATTGCTGAAATTAGAAAAATCGTTAAATGAATAAATATCTATATACACATAAGACTACAGTTAACACTTACCTGACATTTGCTAAAATTGTATCTGACCACTTGAAGCTAGTTAACCAGGTTAAGGATTGTTAATGATAATATAGAGAGGAAGCTAAACACAGCAAAATTGATAATATTGCGGTATACATACAGGTTTTCCTATTTCTGGGTACCTTTGTTTATAACACTATAACGGTATGCCTCATGTATATACATGTTAACTATAAGTACTAGGTCATATTCGGACAGTTGAACTAGTCATGCAAATGCGCATATTTCATACATGTAAGTTATTTGTGACTTATTGTGGCCGGGAGGTTGTAATATTTCCGCCTCTTGCAAAACTGATGGCCAAGAAGCAATGCAGTCAGCATTATTCAGCACAAAAGTTAGGTCATTTCTAAATATGGGATATTTTATAGGTTTGGCCGGGGTTTCAGCTCACGAAACGTGCGTAAATAGGTTAAACCGATCCGATTGGTCAAAAGTTGATTGCATGATTAATTAACCCCGATGACCTGCATAATTAACTGAACTTCATAAAATAGACCCGCGCAGTCACAAGACGCGCATTTTGGGTGATACTTTTTAGATCACGTTAATTCAAGTTTGCCAATTCAGCGTCAGGGCGGCTTTGATACTTCTTTGACTTATTCATTTAAGCTACGTACTTTTCTATTCGCATTTAATAATTAATAAGCGGAGAGCTATTTTGTTGATATACATTCATTTGTAATCGCGGAATAAGGGATTATTTAACCGAGAAATAAAAACTGTTTTAAAAGTTTGATTTGTATTAGTATTCTATCAGAACTTGTGCTGCTTTAATAAATTCCACTAGACACAACGCGAAGTACTCAATTGTCGTGCTATATGTATTGTTTTCCTGTTTTGCTTTTTCAAGCCGATAAACACAAAGAAAACATTGTATATAACACTTAATAGCATTAAATATTCAATGTATTGTATAATAACTACCCTTTCTTTAGCAAATATAATGTTTTGATTGTTTTATAAGAACATCATATATAACATTTCCAGTTAGATACAGCGTCCGTGACTAGAATAGTCGAATCATCATCAGGCGTAAACAAAATTAGAATGAGACATTGTATTTTAGAACATAAAAGCTTAAATCGACCCAATAAGTCTATCAGTCATTAAAAACATAAAACAATGAACTTATATAAAGCCTTGATCTGTGAAAAGTTGTTAACATAGCATTCGGCAAATTGTTTGTTCGTTTATACACCATCACATATGTGTATTTACACACCTCCTCTATTGTTTGTGACAGGTCTATATTTTTCGGATAGACCTGTTTAAACAAAAGAAAGTCCGTTATGAGGTCTATCTTTTGCACGTGCACAGGTCTGTTCTAGTTAGACAGACCCGGTCATGAAAAACACGTGAAAAAATAGACCTGCCTATGCGCAGACAAAGAAAACATGAAACGCAATCAAAAATTAAAAAAAAATGAATTAAAATGTAAATGATTGTCATAATGTTCCTGTTTTACAAATTCGGGATACATTTTTTAAACAAGATAATGTTTATTGAATGCACTTAGCAATTATTCCAGCATCCCTATATTAAATCTTTGAATAAAAATAATGGATAGCATATCAAAGTAAGGACATATTTAACATTTATTGAATCGCGTATCTTACTGGTCATTAAGTTCACAATATAAAACAATGGACGCTTCAAGTTCATTCATGTAAAACTATAGCAGTAATCACAGCATACTTATCACGATTTTATTTTATATCACCTAATCCATAACAATTTTAACGTTCTAGAAAATTCACAGTACATAAAATTGTACCAAAAATTCATATCGAAAAAATATACCAAAAATATGTCCGTTTCACAACTTTTCACCATTTCATATACGCTTTGCATTAGAAACCGCAGCTACCCACAGTTAATAGAAAAGTCTCTGGTAGCATTCCCCCATGCGCGATCAATCAGATTGTTAAATCCCCGTTAACCCCCGCCCCCTCTCTTTGAGTTAGGCTTTATCCTGTTTTTCTATTAAACCGGAGAAAAATCAAAACTGATTTCCCCTGAAAACCTTCAAAGCCACGGCTTAGTTTCAAAGAATGCTACACAACAACGTTAAAGGAAATTTGTATTGATAGAATCCAAACCTTGCTTATAGTGGCATGCATGTACAAGTACTTAATGTGGATTGGTCTACAATGGGCACATCTTCTATTATTATTTCAAATATCGATAGAAACGATAGAAATGTATTATTCGGATATAATTAAAAATTCTTGAAAAAGAAATGTCAATAAAGTTATTAGTGATTTAGTTTTAAAAATGTTATGATGAACAATCATATTTTATTCTAGAACACTATATAATCTGCCATATAAAATATAGTTTCGGTTCATGTATCTCACACTTGCCAACATTATACATATATGTAAGTCTTTCGTGGTCTGCTGGATATCCGGACATTACCCTTCGGACAGTTGCCACCTCGAAAGGGTCCCCCTCTTTGCAGTGTCTGACATTCCCCCCCCCCTACCTCCCTGTTTTAAAAACGTTAAAATATTTAATTGTTGAATTGTTTGCTAACAAAATTCATCGCCTTAAAGCTGCACGCCTCCAGATTAGTCAAAATATTTCAAGAAAATCAATATTGAGAAAAAAGTAATAACATTTTAAGGTCCAAGTTATATTTTTCATGTTATGTGCGGTTTACAAATGATTTTGCAGTATTTTATTACCATATTTCTACTGAGTAGCTAACGCAGTAAGGGCTACTTTTGCATATGTTGACGACTTTTTGATTATTTTCTTGAATTGTAAGTGCCGATTGCAATATGTAAATTACTTAATTTGTTCACCTTACAATATTTTACTTTTAAATACATTTCCGAATTTTCATGAAAATTTACATGAATCTTGAGGCGTGCTGCTTTACATACACAAAAAATCTCGCGCAAATTTGTGAAAATCAAAATAGCATCCAAAAAAAAATTAAAAAATGAACTATAATATTTCCATTGACATACAAAAATATCTATACACGAGATGACCTCTGACAAGTGACAAGTCGCAACAGCAAAATAAAAGAGGCAAACGTCCGAGGGGGGCAACTGTCCGGGGGCAAATGTCCTAGATTCCGCGATGTCTGATGCGAAATAATATCAACATTATTATGCATTCTTTAACATACCTTCCATTACAGTCCTATTCACCTTTTCATTGGCATATTGCACATTTAGCTTTTTTTATTATTATTTTAAAGGGAAAAGCAAAGTTAAATGCAAAATATGTATTGTACATTATTTAAGCAGAACATTGATAAAAGCTTACCTGTATATGCGCTGTGTTAATAATAATATTTGTGCATTACATCAAATGATTGCTCAAGCCAATATAGTTTTACGGTGTGTAAGTTGGATATCGGCCTCGTACATCGATCTTTCTGTTTAGGAAATACCTGGTCACGAATTTCATGAAACACCTCGAGCGCTACGCGCTCTCGGTGTCACATGACATTCGTGACCAGGTCTTTCCTAAACAGAAAGACCTCGTACTCGGTCGATATCCTATACATAAAAGTGTAAACTGTAGCGTACAGGTCTATTACAGCAACTTAAATTCTGTTTAAACTTATCATTGATATTGTCATCCATTTTCACTTGCTTCAAGCCAGTTTATGAAATAAACTTTTCAATAATAACCACAAAGGGTTATAAAAAAAGGGACATTCCAGATAAAAATAATTGCTTACTTCAGAAATTACACGTAGACAGTGTGACTGGGAGTATTTTTGGCTTTTTTAAAAATAACTTTAACATTTTAGCTGCAAGAAGATCGACTAAGGTATTGATGGTTTACCGTTACTTAATATATTTACGGAATATGATTCCCCACCGAATTTTTAATGTAGGAAAGATACATGATGGTTGTACGTTTGTACAGCTGGTATGAAGTTTAACAGAGTCACATCTAAATGAAGGTTTCATTGTTGCGTGTGTGTATAAATGAGGTACAATTGTGAATTTCTATAAAAAAATTTCATGACTTGCTCGTCATAGAGCTCAATTTTTCTATCTTTCATTAACTTCGAATCATCGAGTGAGAAAACAACATACATTTCTGTCATACACGGACACCTCATTATAAAAATTGGTTGTTTTTTTTAAAGAAATATTGATTAAATCTAACAATCTAAGATCAGATTACAAAATATTATTTATAAGGATACGCTTGGTTCGCGATTCTTTCGTCTCGAGAAAACGATGATGACGTCATTACTGATGCATCTTCTTAAATACTGGTTGCATATTTTTATCTGGAGGTCTATGTCTAACTGTTAATAAAGGTGTATTACATAACAATTTTTTAAGATAATAAAATTCCTTTTGACTTTTTAGATGTATTGATAAATATACATGTATAAGAAAAGAAGTGCAAATCTATTTGGTGTTTTATTATTGTCTTTTAATTGTGAATATTGCATTTTATATTCAAGTTAGATAACAGCTAGTCTTCTAAAATGAAATGATTAAAATCATAAAGGCAACACTGAACTGAATTAATAGAGATCTTCATAATCAATTTTAAAGATGTAAGTCTTTAATATGTCCGTATGGCTCAGGTTGGCAATTTCAAATCACTTGCCTCACACCACTTAGTAGTGTTGTTATTTTTTCTGGTCAGAACCTTAAATGCCTTAATGTCAACCTATCGAGCCAGATATTGAAGGTGTTTCTACACAGGGATCTTCCAGAGAATAAAATAATAATGGCAATATTTTTCTACTTAAATCTGTAAATCCATCAGAAAATTCATTGGAAATCCTCGAGGTTGAAACTGCAATCATTACTTTTATCTGTATCAATATGCCCTTGAACATGATCTGAATTGTTTTCACCTTTTCTCGGTGGTAATATCTTGGAACAGCCAAAACCAATATAACCATAATTATTGGATACATCTCAGCAAAACCCGCCAATAACATCATAATCAGAACGTCTTCGAAATATAGCTCAGGCCGGTCTCTAGTTGAAGATGCTACTAGTGCAACCAGTATGGCCAATAATAAAAGCATTGGTACAAGAGACACTTCCCCAGCAACATATATTTCTTTTCTTCAGGAAATCGTAGGTCTTCATGACAGGATCACTATTTACTAATTGTACAACATCGCGTAAAAGCTCTTCAGAAACCTATAATTAGATTAGCGTGTGTATATTTTGATCTATAGTGCATTGGTTTCAATTCCGAACATTGTATTTGTTTACATTTTGTAACAATAAAACATATGTCAAAGTATATTTATCATAAACGACCATTGGTCATTTTAGTATTTATAATCTTTATCAAATATTTTACTGTAGCATTATACTGTATTCAATCCTTTATCGCAGAAAATCTATGTAACAAAAAGTACAATGTATTGATGGAAATATGAGAGAGGAGAAAAGTTATGTAAATTTTAGAATACTTACATATGTCCTCACAGTGATTCTGGAATCTTGTTATAGAATTTCATGATATATCACCGTGAAACTTTCTTCCAAATACATGTGTATCTACAGTTATGACACTAAACAGTATGCTCTTTATTTAACCATGACTCAATTTATTTGAAACAGATGTTGCAGGTGAAATGTCTGATGTAGTGTTAAAAAATGTAAATATTTGATAGTTTTTTCTTACCTTCATTTGACTATTTGTTAGCTCTGTAAGTAAGTCTCTATCCACGCGAAACTTACGCTTTGCAGGCCTGTTAAATCGAAGTTTGTCTTTCTCGACAGGAATTTCAACATTGTACCCATTTTCAACTTAAATATTAGATATAGGAATAATAAAAATACTATAATATGACAAGTGAAAATAAAAGGAGTTTAAATACTTTCGAAAGTGGGATAGTAGCTCCGACACCATAAAGCCACACAGAACCATAGCACCACTGTAAAGATATACATTGTAGGGCACAAATAGACACGGACCAAACATGGGAGGGACACAGTAGGCGACAAATAGTTCAAACTGAAAAATATGCAGGTAAGGTATAAGTAAATATGTCATTTTTTGATATACTGTACAATTCAGTTTTTCTATTTTTCTATACAGCTTCCTTATATTTTGTAAATCGCAAGAAAATATATTGTTTACAAGTTTTATGTTTTTTGTACATTGAAAATTTTAGAATGGTATCACATACAGATAAAAATCGGAAAACAATAATAAATCTAAATAATCATGTACGAATACGAAATTATGAACTCCATGTCTAGCGACACCATAACATATTATCTAAACTATTTTAGTTAGTCAATGATATTCCCTGTTAAAACTATTGTGCTTTCCCACTATTCAGGAAATACAGATATGCATGTATGTCTATACTATGTTACAATGCATATTTTATATACAAGAAATGAATTACGAATTACAACATCAAAGTGAGTTGTTAGATTGGAAATGCCTTTTGAAAATTGTTGCGTGCGGTACCCCGCTGTGTGTTTTACAAGTATTGGTATAGTTAGCTGACGTAGCTCTCTCTTGTTTAACTTTCTTTTCATATTATTTTGTATTATTTGTTCATTATTCAATAATATTTCTCATTACTTAAAATATAACATATCAAAATAAACTAATGACATAGAAGAAAAGGTTTTGAAACTGAGGTTGCTTGCTGATTATTTATAAAGCTCATCCAAGTGTACAAGTAACAGTTGCCTATGGTTATTATTACACGATGATCCATGTCGTAAAATAAAAGCGAAAAATATTGAAAAGGGCTTTGATATGGATATACCAGTTAAATAGACTGTATCATGTGTTTATATTTCAATAAGTAGTAGTTTTTTTTACATAAGAAATCAATATTTAAACTTACATCTGGCTATAACGTTCGTGAATTCTAGTGGAAACATGCTCTTACTCAAATCTGCAAATTAAATAACACCAGGTGAACCATAAACAAGATAACATATGAATTGAAAACAAGCCAAGTCCACGCCCCTTTTACCAATTAATCAAAGCAGAAATCTATGGAAAGCCTTGACTGTCTTATGATTATAAAAATGAACGTTGTTGTGTCACTCTTTCTTTATACACCGTGCACTCATGAATAAGTTAAAATTATTGACATCACATACTGTTGACTCTATATAAAGATGGTTTCACATAATATATTCATAACTTCACATCTTATAATGACAGACTGCCTTATATAAGGACAGATTGACATTATATATAGTTATTTTGACATTATATAAGGATGATTCCACATAATATATTCAAAAATGCACCTCGTATAATGATATACATGTATTGACATCATATTATAAAATAACAAGAATAAAGATCAACAAGGCAAAGGCAACGTTCACAGAACGCCGCCTCCGGACACACCCAAGCAGGACACCCAGAAGGCAAATAACAAGTACCCGGAGTGGACACAAGGGTGAAAGGAGCGGGACATGTTATGTGAAATAATATAAACAAAAACAGGCCTATAAGGGAATTAAAGGAAAAGGGCTGTACGGGTGAAAAGGTGGGGGGAATTAAAGACACATTGATATCATACATTGTTCAGTTGACTATATTTTAGGCATCGTCGGATACCCACGATTGATAAACATGTCACATAACATGCAATCAACCGTGGGTAAAATGAATCGATTTGCGTCGTTATACAGCAACAGGTGCGTAAAATATCTACCAATGACATCGCGTTTAACAAATCTATATTCTTCAACAGCGGAGGTAAAAAACAATAAAAAACAAAATGGCAGCGCCCACGGTTAAAAACTGTTGTACGTGTCTTGCTAAAATCAATGGCAAAAACTATCGCCAAATCAGTTCTTCTGCAAGCAGATATCAATCAGAAAGGAAAACATCACGCTGTAAAAGTAAATTATCTATACTTTCTTGCTGGAAATCGTTTAATTTTTCGATGTTGAACTTTTCACGTCGTCTATGGTTGTCGCAATATTGTCTGTAATACCGAACGTCGTACAGAACGAGCGTTTTGATTGGTTTTAATCGCCTCATGAAATCGTGAGGCAACCAATGAAATAGCTGCCTTTGACACACCTTTAATCGACTGAATATCGGCCAAAAATCCCACGGCTGATAAATGTTAATGGTTCGGCCGTGGGTATCCGACGATGTATTTTAGGATGGTTCCACATAATATATTCATGAGTGCACATTGTATAATGAAAGGTTGACTCAATATGTTGATATATGGACAAAACAACGTTTAGGTTTATTTATAATTATAAGACAGTCAATTAAGGCTTTCCATAAAATTCAGCGTTTCAATCAAAAGTGGTGAATTTCAAAACTTCAGCAGATGTATTTTATAGTGATCATTTTAGTGACCATAGACCCTTTCTATTCAGATGGTCATTAATAGTTTTAACAATTTAAAAAAACATTTAAGATAAAATCAGTGATGAATTTATAACAAATACATTTAAAATACAACCTTGTCATTTTTCAATAAGATCAACACGAAAACAAGGCTTATCTTTTTTCAATAAGGAACTATTTTACTAGGTATATTTAATAAATACTTACCCAAACTCTCTACGGATTCTGCTATTTTACTGGCTATCCCAGCTGCATCGACACATCGTGCATTAACAAACGTTAGAAATGAAAGAAGAGAGAATGTTTCTTCTCCAACATCTTCAAGAATAACTGGAACTATACATGGAATTTTCTCATCAAATGATGCGGCTAAAGCAATCTTTTGTTGATAACTACACCATTCGTCGTTTGTATAGCGCTGTGACAGGAATAATACAACTTTTACTGACTCTTTCATTCCCGCTTTCATGAAATTGAACTTGTCCACACCAGGGTAACAATCAACTACATCATATAAACATTTCAAGTGAAAACGTTCTTTAGTACAGTGACAATTTCTTCAACCGGTTCACAATCGTCCTCGGCAGCTACGATATAGAAGTAATACTTCTTTCCTGTTGGTAACTTTAGGCATTTGTGTCTTAAATTCCGATTCAGTTCGTTATTTAAATCCGCCATTATTTTCGAATTCCACTGTGTATTTGTTATTCAATCCGCCGAAATCGTATTCATATATCTTCATACAATACTAGTATATTATGTCTATAGAACGTGTTTACTATAATCTAACAGTTGAGGTAAAATACGCGTGATAAAATCTCAACACTTGAGGAAATATTGCTGTAAACTAAACCGCTGACGAATTAGCTGACGATAGAGAGTAAATAGGAAACTGCTGGCCAGTTAAATGGTAACTGCGGAAAAATATAATATATTTTATATATCTAACTGGTTAGCACTTTTTATAATAAGTTTAGTTGGTCAGCAGATTCTACCATATGTTTAACTGGGCAGTAGTTTTTATTATATGTTTAACTGGTCAGCAGTTTCTCGCACGTTGAATTTGATGACCATATAAAATAAGAAGGTAATTGTGGGAAAAATCATTTAAGCATTTTCTACTATATTTTTTTTCGGGAGATGTAGAATCTGCTTTATTTACTTATATTACAACATAAATAAACAATTCACGACAACGCGCCATATTGCTTTATAAATCTTACTCAATACCTTAAATTGCAGCAGGGTCTTTCAAATAGATATTTGAAAGACCCTGATTGCAGTAATACTATGCTTATAACTATGATAATCAATTATTTACATTTTAGAGGTATCATTATTTAAAATTCAAGAAGTTGACCTCATCACGGATTTCCCGTAACCTCATACATCTTATTAGTATGTTAATTTTTAAACATAAAATATTTATGCAACAAGTGCAAATAATACTGCAAAGACAGCAAAGGGAAAGCTCCGCAAAAAAAACATTGCTTTTAGCTAGGTATATGATATTAGATTATTATGATAATCATTGTGATTTTAAAATAGCATTCCAGAAATATTATCTCTAGACGTTAAAATCCCAACACTTGAGAGACATAATACATATATCTTGTTTATATGTTGAAATCCCAACACTTGAGGGTCATTATAGAAATATCTTGTCTACACATTAAAATCACAACGCTTGAGAGACATAATACATATATCTTGTTTATTGTTGAAATCCTAACACTTGAGGGAAATTAGCGAATTATCATGTCTAGATGTTAAAATCCCAACACTTTGAGAGATATAAAACATATATCTTGTTTATGTGTTGAAATCCCAACACTTGAGGGACATAATACATATAACATGTCTATATGTTGAAATCCCAACATTTGAGACTCATTATACATATATCTTGTCTACATGTTGAAATCCCAACACTTGAGGGTCATTATAGAAATATATTGTCAACACATTAAAATCCCAACACTTGAGGGTCATTATAGAAATATCTTGTCTATATGTTTAAATCCCAACACTTGAGAGACATAATACATATATCTTGTTTATATGTTGAAATCCCAACACTTGAGGGTCATTATAGAAATATATTGTCAACACATTAAAATCCCAACACTTGAGAGACATAATACATATATCTTGTTTATATGTTGAAATCCCAACACTTGAGGGACATTATAGAAATATCATGTCTAGATGTTAAAATCCCAACACTTGAGAGATATAATACATATATCTTGTTTATATGTTGAAATCCCAACACTTGAGAGACATAATACATATATCATGTCTATATGTTGAAATCCCAACATTTGAGACTCATTATACATATATCTTGTCTACATGTTGAAATCCCAACACTTGAGGGTCATTATAGGAATATCTTGTCCAGACGTTAAAATCCCGACACTTGAGAGACATAATACATAAATCTTGTCTATATGTTAAAATCCCAACACTTGAGAGACATAATACATATATCTTGTCTATTTGTTGAAATCCCAACACTTGAGGGTCATTATAGAAATATCTTGTCTAGACGTTAAAATCCCAACACTTGAGAGACATTATACATATATCTTGTCTATATGTTAAAATCCCAACACTTGAGAGACATAATACATACATCTTGTCTATTTGTTGAAATCCCAACACTTGAGGGTCATTATAGAAATATCTTGTCTACACATTAAAATCCCAACACTTGAGAGACATAATACATTTATCTTGTTTATATGTTGAAATCCCAACACTTGAGGGACATTATAGAAATATCATGTCTTCACGTTAAAATCCCAACACTTGAGAGACATAATACATATATCTTGTATATATGTTGAAATCCCAACACTTGAGGGACATTATAGAAATATCTTGTCTAGACGTTGAAACCCCAAGACTTGATGTCAATGTAATACATATATCATGTGTATGTGTTGAAATCCCAACACTTGAAAGACATATCACATATATCTTGTGTCTGTGTTGAAATCCCAACACTTGAGAGATATAATACATATATCTTGTCTATATGTTGAAATCCCAACACTTGAGGGTCATTATAGAAATATCATGTCTTCACGTTAAAATCCCAACACTTCAGAGACCTCATACATATATCGTATCTTTATATTTTATCCCAACACTTGAGAGACATAATACAATATATCTTGTCTACATGTTGAAATTCCAACATTTGAGGGTCATTATAGAAATATCTTGTCTAGATGTTAAAATCCCAACATTTGAGAGACATAATACATCGTGTCTATATGTTTAAATCCCAGCACTTGAGAGTCATAATACATATCTTGTCTATATGTTGAAATCCCAACACTTGAGAACACTAAATGAGTCATTATAGACGTTTTTACAAGATATATATGTTTGTTCAACAAAATAAAATGTAAATATAAATGTAAGTATTTAATTAAACTTCGTTTCTAATAGATTATTTACAACTGTATCGCCAGTGTTATTTTACTTTATGCTTTTTTATCCGTTTACTTTCTTTGTCGTCAGCGGGTGTCCTATTGCACGTAAAAATAGTTTCAGATGAAGACGTAAAAAGTCTAACTACCCTTACCATTTATTGCAATATTAATACGAAGAAAGTTATTTTTGAAGGATAATGGAGTAACAAACATGAATTATCATATAAAATATAAATGTATATATAATAAAACGTAATAAAAGTGACATAAAATTCAATCTTTTTTTTAAAATTCTTTCAAAGCACTATTAACTAAATTTATCAGATTTCCATTATCACGGATTTTAATTGTAAATTAAAACACGTGCCATTATATCCAATTATTATCAAGCTACCATCGCCAAATTAACCATCTGCTATTTATATCGTCCGTGTTTCGCTCTTTCTCTATAATTATTGTGAGCGTTTAGACTGTGCCATTGTATACACTCAAGTGTTGGGATATTTTGTTCCTGAAATGTTAAGATATAGCCAATTCGGTTATTTACCTGTAACGCATGTCATTCAGTTTATAAATGAAAACGAAAGTTGGAAAACCCACCTTGTACTTTTGATATTGAAAATGGAAATCAAATACTACTCTCTGTGCATTATTCATTCATTTGCGATAATTCAAGTAAGTATATTCATAATAGAAATTATGTTTGATATTGTTATCGTTATACATTATCCAAGCTCACGATAAATAATCGATGTCCTAGATATATGTTTATACATGTATTAACAATTTATTCTCTTATACATGTATATATGGTAATTTATGACAAAAAGTGTATGCATTTGGCTTGATATTGACAATAACTCGTGTTTTAGAATTTAATATTTGAAAGGAATGTTTTTAATGATACTTATCTCTGTTTTTCAGGTATTATGTGCTGATACAAACAGAAATGAAAGTTCCATGCTACATACCGGAACGGACGTAACGTCTTGTAAATCTGGACAGGTTTTAAACGGGTCAGATTGTATAAATATTACTGAATGTAGATTACCGGTTCTGTCAAATAGACGATGTATGCAGCGTTGTCCTGTTGGCTATATTTATTTTACGATGAATGATGATGACTTTGATGATCATGACTACCAAGGTTACCATTATACATTAGCAGACATTGATGAAAATCCGTGTTACAATGAAAATACGTTTTATGTTCTCATAGGTTTGATTGCTATCTTGAATGGTGTTTACATTGTGTTCGTAAAGATGTTTCTATCAACGAACAAGTATTCTTTGGCAAAACTGGTATGACATTTTAAATATTTTAATATCATTTCTTTGTTTATACTACACCAAAAAAACCCACACAAACGATTGTATGCAACAAATCTAGACACTATTCTTTTTAGTTTAAACATATTTATTCAGCAAATTTACAAACAAGTATTCTATTGAAAAAACTGGTATGACATTTTATGGTTTCTTTTCAGTAATAATTCTTTCTTTGTATACTCTAGACCAAAAACCATAATCGATTGTATGCTACATATATTTAATCACTAACCTATTTAGTTTAAACATTTTTGTGTGCAAATTTACAAGCATGTATCATTTTACGTCACAATATAAAAAAGTATATGGATTGGAAAACAAGCGTAACATTTGCATAACTTCCTTTCTATTAACTTATTTATGCATTTGAAAAACTATTGAGTGCGGTAGTATATGTAGATACAAAAATAGCAGAGCTATCATATACATGCAAAATCAGATACTATGTGATTGTATTTTTTTTACCATGGAAATCTCGCTGCATGTTTGTTCCTGTGATGAAAAAAGCAATTAAGTTGGTCATTTATCCTATTTAATGATGAAATCTAGATTAATTGACATACATTCGTCGTTGCGTATTTACAATCGAAGTGCTTTACTTAATTTAGCGTTACAATGTGATATTTTTGTACTTTCATAAAAACGAAGTATTATCTCACCAAAAAATAATGCATTGTTTTAAGTTGTTTTCCAATACTTATAAAATGTATATAAATGCGACTTTGGTCAGTGCTTTAAAGTATCGTCTATTGTCTAGTCAATGTACATGTTTTTGTCTTACAGAAAACCTTCGTCTGCTTTAAAACACAAACTGGAGAACGTGAAAGACTGCTTAATATCAATACATGTACAGATGATGATACACCGAATTATAATAGTTTACCGTAAAGGGTATAAAGCTACATTTTTTTTGTATAATTGACTGTCACTAATTTGCAACATATTTTGTTTGTATCTTGATAAAAAGATCCCAAAGTGTGTAAACTGAAAGACATCCTACTTGTAAATTTCTGATAAACTAAATGGGTTTTACAAAGTTCATGTTTAAACCTATTAAAATCACAGCGGGGACTTTTTACTATGTTCATTCATATAATTTATGTGTTTATAATAGCGGATGAAACACTTTTTTGTGTGAACTCATTTCAGATGTGATTAAAAGAATATGAAAACCATCTGATTGTATTTGCTTTTTTATTTTTCATTTTGCAAAATTTGTCACATTTTTGTTTTCACATCCTTTATTCTATAAAATGTAAACAGGTACGTTATACTTCAGGGAAAAAAAACATAGTCATTAAATTCTTTACAAGTGTCAAACATGGGTTAAATAATGCTTCAATAATAGATTTATAACAATTTAGATGTTAAACAGCTAAAGACAGTAATGTTGAATGTGCAGTTATGTGTCGTAAATGTAGCAAAAATGTCAACAAAATAGTATTTTGACTTTCATACAAAATACTATATGCTAATTACCTATAACTATACAAATTGCTAATAACGCAAAGGAAGGAAAAGATAGTTCATCTGTATGGCAAATGAGTATAGTAGATATAAGATCATAAGAAATAATGTACAGAAGGGCACCTGGTCTTTCACCGCCAGTAAAGCTTGAGAGTCGCGATATGGCCTATACTGTGTTGGTGCGACGTAAAGCCCAGCAAAAACAAAACGAACAATCAACCTCGGTTAAGCCTGCAACATTTTCAGTTTTGCTGTTTCACGCTTTATTGCTGTCTTGAAGAATTCCAATATTTTATGTATCGTATTTCCATTGCAAGTGTTACGTAGAGGGTAAACAGTTTATTTTTTAAGTTCACTCACGGATTTATATTACATTATATTGTAATATAAATCCGTGGTTGACTCTAGACTTCTTAGCCTTCTCTCCGCTAATGACCGCTCTGTCATGAGTATATATAGAGAGGTAAATTGGCAACTAGAAAAAACACATTTTATTTCATACACTTGCATTTTGTTTGTGCCATACGTTAATAATGATAATGATAATAGATTGAAATTTACAGTTATTGATGATTTGTTGTGATATATTCATAATGAAATATTCGAATAACTACAACAATTCAAGTATTGAATGTAAATATTAAATAAATAACAATGTAAGCCAATTTATATATGAACATCAAATACCAATCAAGTGCAATTAACATCATATGATGCTTAGATAGACAATTCAAATGTCAAAATCTACTTGCTAAACAACATATACCTTATATGTATAGACATGTATAACAACTCTTAAAATAGATAGTACATGTATGTATCTATAGAAGTTAAAAATAATTGTAGCACATATGGTTAAAAGGTATCAACTAACTGATTAAAATAATTAATTAATTAACATAAAAGTGTGGTCTCCTAGTTGACTATGTTACACAAGCCACTACCAAGAGGAAATATGTATATGTAATAATCACATATTCTTGTTAAAAGATTAAATACAAATTTAATCCCATTAAAGGTCGTCCCAAAAAGCCAGAAAAAATGCTGTGATCAATTCCATAGAAACCCCTGTCAGGATCTTTGTTTTGGACAGATACGTCATCACCTTTCTGTAGCTGAAGGACAATAGTTTCACTTGTCGTGTCATTCCCAGTCGTAGCATCTCCTTGGCTAACGTACATATTTGTTATACCTGCTCCATTCACAGCGAACTGCCCGTGCGCCTTTGGTGAAATTGAAGGAAACCAATGTCGTTGAGAAAACGTATGTTCCAGCCACCGGAGCTACGAAAACACCAGCACTGCTATTGTATGCATTTCCCAAATTAGTTACGATGGCGTAAAAGATAACGGTTTGGTGAGCACTGGCATGTTGAAGATGAGCATTTCTCTTTGCAAAGAATGCAACGGGAGTTTCTACTGACTGTCTCCGTATTCGGTTTGTTTAAGCACCTGAAAGGGCAGCAAGTGAACTTTTCGACGTCCTTTTTTATCTATTTAAGTGTATTCAAGTATTTGAATCTTGTAAAACAGCAGTCTATGTATACATTATATGTAAATCTGATGATAAAGGCTAATAACTTCCCTTTTCAGTTGTGTACATTATACGTAAGATATAACATTGAATTATTGTCATTATAGTTTGTATGCTTTGAGCAATTATTAACTATAGTCTGTCTCATTAAAAATAGAAATGTACTTTTGCCTGGTATGAATTAACAAAACGAGGTTGAATAGAAAGTAAACCATTTTTGTAATCTTTAAAAGATCACCCTCGAGATTTTTCAGGATTTTCCCCTAAAGTGTCTACTTTTCTTGTAAAAGCAACGTTTGGTTACTCTACGGCAAGTCTCTAGTCATATAGTTAATATGATACATTGCCTTTAAAAAGGTTAATATGACGGTATTTACTTAACCTTGTTCCTTATTATTTGCAGCTTTCTCGTCAGTTTTAACTTCCTCTCTTTTACAGACTATTATCTTCTTAACAATATTTTCTAAGTTAGAGCTGTGTTTGCGCTGTAAACGTAGTTCTTTCTCTAAGTAGGTTACTTTCTTGTGTCGAAACTTATCTTGAGTTTTCAAGAGGTTCACTTCACGAAGAAGTTCCCGAACAAGACTTTCAGTGGCGCTTAGTCTTTTTGACATATCATCTTCATTATCTAAAAATGAGTAAGTTCATAAAAGTTATATAAAAAGATAAGTTTATTAGCTCTTTCATTGTCTTTTTTAAACTTGCACAATCTATGATTTTTATCATTTTTTATTGAAACATTTTACAGCTATGTTATGCAGAACTCATTGTATAAATAACTGTCTTCAAGGATCAAAGTGAAATTCCTTTCCAGTAGATTGATCTACCATGCAAACAGAAATATAGAAAAAATGGAGTAGTACACAGGATACTGCGTAGCACAAACGGAACAGTAAATGAGAAAAATATGATAAACAAGATCAACAAGGAAAGGCGGCGTTCAATGAACGCAACCCCCATATGGCCCAGCCACAAGAACCAGTGGCAAGGAGCCCAGGCGGACCACAAACAAAAACAGGACAGGGCAAAGACAGAGCACGGACAGGTTATTCATTAAATGATAAATAATTTGTAACTGATTAGGAATTCAAAGAAAACAAATGATTAAATAATAAGCCCACAAAGGGGACAGGAGACCAGGGGAAGGCGGGGGGTTAATCAAAGAAATAAAAACTAGGGGTAAATGGGAAGATTACTTTACCGTAGACAGAGAAAACAAACCCAAGGGACACAAGCAAAAGTGTCATCCAAAAAAGTTATTGAAAAACATAGAACATACTCTGAGGAACCAGAGGGGCGCCGCCTCGGAAGGTCAGCACCTAATAATTTGACTGCTGGGATCTTAAAAAACGGTAAATGGTGCACCAAACCCTTCCTCTTAGCCCCCACCAGTTTCCTTTAAACGAGCTGTAAATAAAATGAAATCCCCGCCCAAGTGAAAATTCTAACATTGTCATGGTTACAAAAAGGTTTAAATAAGGTGAAAACCTTAAAATGTCTGAGAAAAACATATAAAAGTAAACCAAAATGACCATAACAAAAGTATTTTAACGATTCCTAAAAGGGAAGGGACAGACAGCAATAAAGGGGAAAATCACCTTACAAGGGGCCCAACGGAAGCAAGGCAAAAGACGAAAAAAATTTAAAAATGGGAAAAAAAAATAAAAAGACAAACACGAAACCCCATAAGGAAATTTCCTTTTAAAAATAAGATGTGATATCCCCAAAACAAAAAATGACGAAGAACCCATTAAAAAAAGATATTACGGAAAAGACAAAACTTAAATTTTGTTGGCTTTAAAAAAAGTTAATTTAAACGAATAGAACAAAATGTAAAATTAAACATCAGGAAACAAGACACGTACCTGAACAAACAAAGGGACAAGACAGAACAGACAAAAGAAAAATTAGACAACAAGACACGTTAAATAGAAATCGAATAAATTAACTAACGGAATACGCAATAACATTTCAGGCAGACAACAACGGAAAAGACAATAAGGACTTAACATTACAGCAAATATATTAATAAATACAGTCAACAAAATACATCACAGCCAAACAAAATACATACAGAACAGAAAATACTTTCTTGAAACGGAACAAAAAGAAGTATTGCAGTGTTATAACGATGATATCATCAAATTCAATGACAATTATCTCATGGAACTTAAAACGTTTAATCAAGAGGTTTTAATGGCATAGCAAACTAACTGAAACCACATACAAATAAAAACTATTAAACCTTCCTTTATCGACCAATTCACTTAATTTAAGGTTACAATGTTTAAATGTGCCAATCTGCTATGAAAAAATTTCAAGTAAGAATATATAGAATTTACAGTTAAAGACGGTTAATTTACCAGTAATTGAGAAAAGGTAAAAAACACTAAGCATGCATTTAATGCTTTTCATCCATGTGTGATAAAAAAGCTCACTTACCTATTGAAGCTGCTGTCACTGAACAGACAATAGAAAATATCACTTCATCGTTCTGTCCCTAAGTTTAAAAGTAATTGGCTGTATCTATATCTCTCTAAACTAGTGTCATATATAAAATAAGAAAATGTATGAGATTGCAATATTCACAACCTTAATAAACTCGCAAACTAAGTAGTAATTGTAAAAGTATAAAACCCACAATCATAGTTATTTTTGCAATATTAAGATTCAGTCAGTTTAGAACGCAATCGAAAACAAATATACGTGGCATATTGTAAACTTCATTAAATAAGTGTTATAGTGTGAGGAAAATATGCAGCCTGACTGGGACTAGAACTCGGGACACTGAGAAATCCTCTTACCAAAATATTTCAAAGCCGCTTAAACGTATTCTTTCCTATATAGAGAACAATTCTGAAGCGTGACATACTCCCCTGCTATATTGAAATTTGTCAATTGAGTTACTGAAAGATGTGAATTAAACTCTGAACAAGAAGAATTTATGGTCCCCGTTGGGCGCCAAATGTCACAGGGTGAAAAAAAGTACCGTTCTGCGGCTCTATACCGACTGGGATGTCACCTTCTTCGCCATAATGTGAACAGTCATACTCAGTCAAACAGTGATATGCTGTCATAAATTACGGAAGTATTTCACAAAAATTCTACCATCGAAATGGTTATTTTATTTCCATTTATTTTTATAAAGAGATTATAACCGAAGTATTTTGAGGAATAACGCATGTTATGTGTTTAACACGTTTACTACTGGACTCTCCGCTTCCTTCTATTGATTGCATATTGCGGACCAAATGAAAGACTTCATGACGGACAGTTCTTAAAATTCTAATTGCTGAACTGTCTGAATTTCCATCTTCTGCCTTTCTTTGTCGGGCACTTGTAGATGATTGTCTTGTTGCCTTGCCTTCCTGTAAGGCATTGCGTATTTTTGTTATGGTCATTTGTATTAACTTTGAACGTATAGGTATTCTCATGATAAATTTTGTGATTCTTTATTAATTTTGTCTGTTATCATGACAATCGATAGGGAATATACACTTCTTTACTGTGTCTCGTCTTATAGGAGCATGCTGGTGCATATTTAACCGATTTAAACACACCAATAGTGATTTTTCTACTTATGCCTCTTCATGTTCCTTTATACTTTTATGTATGTCGTGTTGAATGATAAATGGTTTGTGTGTTTACACTAGTTATAACGTTTTTTTTCTGTGTAATTTGTCCCCATTGATAAGTATGTCCTTTATCACTTACTGTATTATCCGTTTCTTCATCGTCTACATTTTTAATCTCTTTCTCCGCCATGCATTCATTACCCGTTTTAGCCCGCCCTTTATATTTCAATTACACCCTTTAGGATTCACTTCATGTCTGTTAGGAGTTTCCATATTTAGTTCTTTATCTTAATTATTTCGTATTTCAGCAAAGAGAAATAACATAGGGGAGATACCGGTAGCAAGGGGCATAGAGAAATAGTTTTTCTAAATTTGTCAACTCGTAATTATACAGTATTGGGATACTGACATAACTTTACGCTTAGGACTATAGTGCAATATATAATAATATTACACGCCCAAATATAAAGTAGGCCCTGTGTTTTATGTAATACCGACTGCTGATACATTTACATTATGTTCTCACTTCAGAAATACAGTGAGAAAATCGGTCGATCAACATTTTCTTTTTCTTTTCAATGGTGTTTGTGTTTTAGAGTACCACTTTGTCGAAATTACTCAAGCATATTTAACTTTCTCTGTCTAAACCTAGAAATAGTTAAACAATTGGTCAAAACAGCGCATTTAAACATCATTCTACTGAAATAAATAATTACTTGTACATGTATTTTACGATGTGTCAATTTGTATGTTGACCTTAAAAAGGACTCAACTGAGATTTTATGACAAGATGGATTCGGAAATAAATTTTCGAGTTTTTTTTATATCCTGTATAACAAAAAGCTATATGTAAATTTTCAGGTAGTTTTCAAAATAATTATTTTCATTTTTAAAAAAATAGCTAAAATTGAAAAGCATTTAAACGCTTTTATCTAACATTTGGCATAGAATCCCTCTATATATCCATTTTCAATTTTAATTTTGAATATATTTAATTCATATTTTTTCTCATGTTTTTTTTTCCTTTTTAGTGCCCCAGTTTATCAATGTAAGAATATCAAATTTTATGTTTATAGATTTTTAGACCTCAAGGTCGCGAATAGTCCTTATCTTTGACCTTTTCTTTAATATAAGACCACAGTGACCTAGACAATTAGTTGAAGATTAGATACAGAAAGATGAAAGAAGTTTTATAAGTCATATTTGCTATCGTCTGTTCAGTAGCTAATGCTGTGTCAGGTAAGTTAAAATTTCGATCATTTTATGATCATTTTTCGATCACATTAGAACGAAAAGCATGGAATTCATGCGTATTCCTTGTCACATTCTCACTTTAATTGAATACACAATCATGTCAGCAATATTTTAACCGTTTAATTGTAAATCTCCTTGTTTCAGATAATGAAGATGATATGCCAAAAAGACTTAGCGCCACTGAAAGTCTTGTTCAGGAACTTCTTCGTGAAGTGAACCTCTTGAAATCTCAAGATAAACATCGGGAAAAGAAAGTTACTTACTTAGAGAAAGAACTACGTTTACAGCGTCAACGGAGCTCTAACTTGGAAAATATTGTTAAGAAGATATCAGTATGTGAAAGAGAGCAAGTCAAAACTGACGAGAAAGCTGCAACTAATAAGGAACAAGGTAAAGTAAATACCGCGGCCATATTAACTTAGAAAAAATCATTAAGAAATTAGCAATATGTGACAGAGAAAAAAACCTAAACAAGGGGAAATATACCTGTTTCAGTTGCCGAGAAAGCTGCAACAAATAAGCATAAAGGTATACTACTGGTTTACACGGTTTGATAATAATAATAATAATAATAATAATAATAATAATAATAATAATAATGATAATAACAACAACAATCTTTATTTAAAGAAAGTAGCACATGCAGGCATAGCATTGTACAAAACGAACGACGTATGTCTAATTTAAAATGTGGCCTTCTTATCAATATAAAACACGTTATGAAACGAAGAAGACAACAAACATTGCAATGAGTCAATTAAAACTACATTAAATTAAATTTGATTGGTACAAATCCTAAAACTATGGTATCAGATATTGTACACTTTGCGCGTTGCGTTGTCGACAGCGACAACACAACCTATATTGTCTTGTTGTCTTGTCGCTAGCGAAACGCGCCAAACCGTGCATTGTTGCACTAGCGAAGAACGCTAAAACGGCGCGTTGTCTTGTGGAGCGTTGTTGCGATGTTGCCCTGTCGCTAGACATATACTAATAGCCAATCCTTCGATTTAAGCTGAGCGACAATGTGACATCGCCACAACGCGCCGCACGACAACGCGCCGTTTGGTGGTTTATCATGCTGTTTCTAGTGACAACACGACACACAAATGTATTATAACATATAATGACATAGTTACGATGAAGTTGATGTAACAATAAAAATAGTATTATTATTTATTTATTTATTTATTTATTCATTTATTGATATACATTAAGTCGCTTGCTTTAGTTTCAGGTGCTTCAACAAACCGAATACGCAGACAATCAGTAGAAACTCCCGTTGCATTCTTTGCAAAGAGAAATGCCCATCTTCAACATGCCAGTGCTCACCAAACCGTTATCTTTGACGCCATCGTAACTAATTTAGGAAATGCATACAACAGCAGTGCTGGTGTTTTCGTAGCCCCGGTGGCTGGAACATACGTTTTTTCCACAACTCTGATCTCTATCAATTTCCAAAGTGCGCATGCGCAGTTCGCTGTAAATGGAGCAGCTATAACAAATATGTACGTTAGCCAAGGAGATGCTACGACTGGGGATGACACAACAAGTCAAACTATTGTCCTTCAGCTACAGAAAGGTGATGACGTATCTATCCAAAACAAAGATCCTGACAGGGGTTTCCACGGTATCAGTCATAGCATATTTTCTGGCTTTTTACTGTATGAAGATTTCTCTAGCCCAGCTGTAGTTGGAAAATAATAATGCAGAAATATCTAGAGTATTTTATTCATTTTTCTCTTATTTTCATTTTGATGAAGAAAAAAAACTCAACAGTACATTTAGTTTGTTCTAAATTAAGGTGCCGGTATTGTATGGAAGTATTTGAAACCAATATTGTTGGACAGACAGCAAGTCATTATGCTTTGGGTGTTTGGTTTTTGCAACTACTACCTTATATTATGTAATGCAACAAGGATATGGTTGTGTCCTCTCCAAAAAGGCACAATGTAATAAGGTGTATGTGTTACAAACGGAGGTATACAGTCAGAGGGATACATCATGCTTGTTCAGTCAGATTGTCTGTAGAATAGGAAAGACAAAACATATTCGAACATTCAAAATGTGTTCGGTATAATGAATATTTGATTATGTATTATTTAAACATTTATACAATAAGAAAAGAAATAATTATAGATAAATGCTGTGTGAAATTTAGCGTGTTACTTTTACCCATTAACTAACTTTTAACTCCGAAGTAGAGGTGTTGCTAAAAGGCGATTTTTCTGCTGTGATCGTTCATGTTTGTCTTGTCTAGTAGGTCTTAAATGTTTTCAATTTATGATTTTCCCCCTATTTTGTGAACGTCTGTGTCCCTTACTCACATTGGCGTTTTTAAATGTTTCTAATTTTATGCTTGAGGATCGTCAGACCGGTATCCTATAGTTCCTTGCTCCATGGCATTCTTCAGGCGTTAATTTTATGTCCAAAGTTTTGGGGGAAAATGCGTATTATGACAATAGCTGAAGAATTTTGCAAAGATAAGAATTACACCAAAGCTGTAGAAAATGTAACATTGTATTGAAACTATTAAAATAAAACAAGTATAAAAAATATTAATCTAATACATGTATACCTTTTGCCAAAAGTTTTGACAGCATAAAATCTGTCACATTAATCACTGAATAAATTACTTACAACTAGAAATGTGTTCATAGGACACGGGTGCCCCCACCGCGCCACTGTTCTGTCCATCTGTTTACTAAGTCAAGGGAAATAACTCTACAAATACTGGATAAATCCACAAGCGAAACCCCAGGTGCAAATCTAAATATGCTGAGCAACCTGCCCATAAGGTTTAATGACTCTATGTCAAATCCTTTTTGAGTAACATGCGACACAAGTTGAAAATTGCAAAAATTTTCTAAGTCCATGGCAATAACTCTAAAAATACTGAATAAATCCAGACAAAAATACCTGGTGCACAACTGCACATGCTGATCAATATTCCTGTGAAGTTTCATGGCTCTAGGTCAAATACTTTTTGAGTTACATGCGACACAAGTTGAAAAATTGCAAAATTTTACTAAGTCAAAGGCAATTACTCTGAAAATACTAAAAATATCCAGACGAAAATACCCAGGTGCACAACTACACATGCTGATCAACATTCCTGTAAAGTTTCATGACTCTAGGTCAAATACATTTTGAGTTTCATGCGACACAAGTTAAAAATTGCAAAATTTTACTAAGTCAAGGGCAATAACTCTGAAAATGCTAAAAATATCCAGACGAAAATACCCAGGTGCACAACTACACATGCTGATTAACATTCCTGTAAAGTTTCATGACTCTAGGTCAAATACTTTTTGAGTTACATGCGACACAATAGTGAACGGACGGAAGGACGGACGGACGGACAAGGATTAATCTAAATGCCCGCCACTAAAGTGGGGGCACAAAAACTTTTAAAGAGAACTGAAATCGTTTTTTTCTTAAGTATTATTTTCTAGTTCAATTAATTTATATAAAGAATGAGTCAGTCTTTTTATATATCTTATTCTAAACAATTTCCAACTGTTCGTCAATCACCATTTTGATAGTAAATCTTATTAAAAAATATATAGTCAATTCAGCCCAACTTGGCAATGAAAAGACTGAGCATAATGTCACATAGATTAAATGGAATTTCTTCACAATAAACTGATAAAATGGAAACCTGAAAACTCCTCACGGTAAAAGTGACAGGACTGGGATGATTGAGGTGACGTTGCATTAATAAAAAGAAGCTGAAAAGGATTTTAAGGAACGGGTCTTCTTCGATCGTCAGCCCGATCTGATCAAATTAACACACAGATGGGCAGCTGAGGTCTTCCTCCACTAGTAAAGCTGGAAAAAAATTACCATATGGCCTTTATAGCGCCGATTGGACTTTAAAACGAATCAACATTCTTTTGCAAATGCTTTATATACAAATAAACGTGCATACACAATATTGTTAAAGGTCTGTATAATGGTATAAATTATATTTGCATAGCACGTCATGATGTCTTTCAATACGGCAAGCTGAAAATGTCTTTATATGCTCTGTAAAAGTGCATATCTAAACGGAATCAGGTATCAGTTTGGCGTGCGTTGTTGTTTGATATTGGATCCTTTGCTGTACAAGTATTTAAAAAATAAACATGTATATTTAAGAAAACTTGTTCTTTATGTCTGAACTTCACCTAAATACTAAATAAAATATCTTACAGTAATGTGAAAACCAAAAAATCTGTTTTGGTAACTTACTTTACAACGGTATCTGATACACTGACAAATGAATGTTTAGAAGTGAATACATATTCTTACATCTATCAAGAAAACACTGGGCTGCAGCGGCGTGATTTGGTCCATAATAGTTATTGTATATCACTCATTGTAATAAAATAACTTTTACATATACCATGACCGTTTCCTTGTTCTGTCTTTTCGAACACACTCTAGCCAAAATAAACATTTTACAAGCAATGTCAAACGATGTTTGTTCTTTCGACTTGTGAGAGACATCTTTCTATTCTTTGACAGAGGCATTCTTTTCCTTTTCTAAGGGTATGTCGGTTCTGTGATGCATCAGGCAGGTCGTCGTAATTTAAGGTCATGACTTTTGATATTTCGGCAGTATGAATTTCAATCAAATTCAAAGCGTATTCCTGAAATATAGAAAAATAACTATATTTAGAGTATAAGAGTTTAATAAATGCTTAACCACATTCTTTTTTAAATAAACATCGGATAGAAATATTAGGTGAAACGTGTTTTTTTTTTCTTTTTATTGACTTCTAAAACATGCTTAACATCATAAAATAACTGCATTTTAGCGTTGGGATAAGAAATTCGCCCTCTTCAAATAAAAGTGTAAGTTTTACATGTCATACTGGAGTTTACAAATAAAGATAATCTTCTCGCAAAACTGACAGAAAACCAACCTTTGGGGTGATGTTCATATCTGCTAGTAAAAGTTGGCGGCGTTCTTGGATAAAGTATTCCAAATAGTCCTGAAAAATACAAGCAAAGTGATAATAAAAAAATCAAATATTTTTCCTTTACTCTCAGATATAAATGTTTACTCTCAGATAAATGTCGAGAACTTTCAATTCATGAAGAAATAGTAAGACGCTTATATCTGGCTTAATCAGCGTCTAATTTTGAATAAAATAGAGACACTAAATAGGCATATGTGTGTTTGGACGGAATTCTGTACTTTTCTTTAGTCTCACTACAAACCAGTCTCCAAGCTAGAACTTCGTCCTTAATATAACTCGAACAAAATAGTATGTTCATTATTAATTTGTATGACACGCTTTCACGGATTGCTTTTTTGTGTGTGTTTTTTTTCCATTTGACATAGTTTATATAGTTAATTCGTATTTGTACACATTATAAAAAACTATCTAGGATCGAACTTCATACATTAAGTTAAGCAAGCACCCGCGAACATTTGTGCTCATATTTTAATTTTATTGCTGAAATTAGCAAAATCGTGAAAAGAATGAAGTTTGATATAGACATAAGAATAAAAGATATATATACAGTCAAAACTTACCTGACATTTGCTGAAATTGTATCTGACCACATGAAGCTAGTTTTCATGGTTAAGTATTGTCAATGATAAAATATAGAGAAACCAAACACAGCAAAATTGATAATATTGCGGTATATGTACAGGTTTATCTATTTCTGGGTACCTTTGTATTGTTTTCCCGTTTTGCTTTTTCAATTCGGCACACACACAAAAAAAACATTGTATATAACACTTAATAGTATTAAATATTCAATGTTTTTATGATAACTACCCTCTCCTCTTCAGCAATTATAAAGTTATCATTGTTATAAGAACATTATATTAAACATTTACAGTAAGTTACGGCGTCCGTGTCATTTTCAGAAACAATAAAAGTCAAATCATCATCAGCCGTAATCAAAATTAGAATGAGACGTTGTATTTTGGAAAATAAAAAGCTCAAAACGAGCAAATGAGTCTTTCAGTCATTCAAACATAAAATATGAACTTATATAAGCATTGATCTGTAAAGAGTTGTTTTCACAGCATTCAGCAAATCATTCAAATCATTTGTTTATACACACCATCACATACATGACATATGTAAACTGTAACGTACAGGTCTGTTACAGCAACATAAATACTGTTTAAACTTATTATTGAGATTGTCATCCATTTTATTTTCACTTGCTTCAAGAAATTTTTGAAATAAACTTTTGAATAATAAACACAAAAGGTTATAAAAGGGTCATATTCTTTACATTCCAGATAACAAATATTGCTTATTGTCAGAAATAATACTAGGAATTTTTAAATGTAATTATATTGGTGGACATAGATACATGATGGTTGTACGTTTGTATAACTGGAAAAAAGTTTAACAGATAAATAGTGTTTGAAATTACATCTAAATGAAGTTTCTTTTTTGCGAGTATGAATAAGGGACAATTAGTGTGAATTTCTACAAATATCTGTTCATGACTTGTAAATGATAAAGCACAAATTTTCTAACTTCAAATCATTGAGTATGAAAACGACATACATTTCTGTCAGGCAAGGACATCTCATTATAAAAATCGGTTGTTCTTTAAAAAGAAATATTGATTAAATATAACAATCTTAGATCAGATTTCAACATATGATTTTTAAGGATACGCTTGGTTCGCGATTCTTTCGTCCCGAGAAAACAATGATGACGTCATTACTGATGCATCTTCTTAAAAACTGGCTGCAT